GACTCAACAACAAAACAACCACACCTGCCAACTGAAACCAGCATGACGGGCAAGGGTTCTGCACTAAAGCTGACAGCCGTCCTCTGCGCCTGGCTTGGGCCTGGGCGGGGACTCAGGACCCCCAGGATGGGCAGCAGGAGAATGGTACTTTCTTCCTTCTCTCCTGGAAATGCCCAAGGGCCCTGCCCTGTTCAAATCAAAAACGGCCGGGCGAAAAGGAGGCCATGGCTACAGCCTCCATGTCCAAGGTCCCAAATAGTGTCCCCATCAGACTGCTGGGGAGGGGGGACAGGTAGACAGTCCATTCCCAGGGTTGGCGGCACTCTTCTCTCCAGCATTACTCTGACTACCACAAAAATACCCACAAAAATACCTGATTACTCAATGGATCAACAATTCAAGCTCCCCAAAACAGTGGTCCCCACTCCTCAATCTTCATCTCGCCTGAATTAACAGCCACCACGGACACAGCTGTGTCCTCCCTGAAGCACTGTCCAAAGGCCACACTCCCCTGCTTCTCTTCCCACTTCACCCCCGTCCCTTCCCTGTCTGTCCAAGTCCCCAGGACTCAACCCTGGGACCTTTCTCTCCTCCTTCTACACCTGCTTGCCCTGCCCTCCCCGCCCCCCCAACCCACCCCTTGCAGATTCCACTCAGCTTCATGGCTTTAAAATGCATCAGAGGGAACTTCCCTGGAGGTCTGGGGAGCTGTCACTGCAGGCGGTGCTGGCTCAATGCCTGGTTGGGGAACTAAGATCCCGCATTAGGTACAGCACAACCAACCCCCCTCAAAACAAACAGACTGCATCAGAAGCTATCAGTTCCCAAATAACGTCCATCCCCACTACTTACGGTTTCCGTATCTGTGAATTTGCCTACTTGCTAGGCAAAATCCATTCGCAGCCCCCAAATCAATACCTGGGATGCTCTTGTGTCCATCTGTAGACCTGCCCAGAGTGGCCAGAACCTGGAGTTGCCCGCGGCGCTCGCTCCCAGCCGGGGGCACACGCAGCAACGCTCTGTCCTCTTGTTTCATCTCTCACACTGTCAGCAGTGTGGTTCAAGGTCCAATTACTGCCAAATTTTTTCCTCATTTTTATGTCTTTTGTTGACTTCGCTATTAAAAACAGCCCCCAGGTGTCAGGGCCAAAATGCTGTCCAGGGATCCCAAGCCCAAGAAGGCTGGGTGTGCCTTAATGAGAAAGCGTGTGTTCGGTAAACTTCATTTAGGCATGAGTGTCAGTGCTGTTGGCCTGAATTCAACCTTAATGAATCAATAATAATATTACATAAAGTGTCACTGAACAGAGATACAGGGATTTCCCTGGTGGCTCAGACGGTAAAGTATCTGCCTGCCACGAGGGAGACCCAGGTTCAATCCCTGGGTCGGGAAGATCCCTTGGAGTTTATCACAAGGGATAAACTGTCTATCACAGTTTATCACAGCACCTGTTTATCACAAACAGAGTGATAAAAATCACAAATGCACAACCAACTACAGTTCTGTACCTACACTGTTGGTCACATTTAACATCCTTCTGAGGGAGCAGGACTGACCTTACATACAAGTCCCTTTCTCTCATAAAACTGAATGAGAAAACAAAACCAGAATCTATTAAACCAGTGGTCACACAGTAAAAACTGTACATTGTTGCCCATTTATTTAAAAAGCAAAGTCACTAGGATGGTAGGTATACAAGTGATAACCAGTGCCTTTGTGATCGATGATGAACACTTTTTCTTTAAGGTTGAGAATTATCTCCACTCTCTCTACATAACCAGAGATACTTCCTCTTCTCTTTCCTGCTCTCTCTCACACACACACACACACACACACACACACACCCCTCCTGTTCTCTTTCCTGCTTTATTTTTCAGCACGCATAACCATCTAAGATATTAATTAATTCATCTATGAGCCTATAGTCTGTCTCTATCTCAAACATAAGTACCATGAGGTTGAGCATTTTTATATTTCTTTTTTCTTTCTACTGATACATCCCTAGTGCCTAGAACAGAAGGTAGGCACTAAATAAATAATCCTAGAATGATGCATAATGTGGCACTTACCATACATTATTCAGTTCACCTGCTAGCCCTCTGTCTCTCACAAGACTGTGAACATTTTGAGATCAGAGACTCTGTCTATCTAAGCCATATTTGTATTCCTAACACCACACTACTGTGCATGACACATAACAGGAATTCAATAATTGCACCCTGAGTGAATGGTAGGGGAACAGAGAAAAAAAAAAAATCGCTAATGTGCATAAGCTTAGGTGTTTATTCAACAAGCATCTGTGCAAAGATCAGAAAGCACAGCCCCTGCTCTACTGGAGCAGGGGAGAGACACGAATAAAGATGGGCCCAGATGCAATGTGATCAGGGCCATGATGAGAAAAGGAAAAGAGCTAAGATGACAAAGGAGACAATGGGTGTTGGGATGGCAATCAAAAGAGGGTTATGTAACCTGGGCTTTGATGGTCAAATAGGAGCGTGCCACACAGACTGGGTGGAGAAACAGCCTGAGCTCAGTTGCGCACTGCCCAAGCCATGTCTACAGACTCAAGCTCCCCAGTGTTGCCCCTTCTTTGCTCTAAGAGGTCTCCCAGCAGTCTTGGTGCTTAATAAATATGAGCAAGCAGAAATGCTCCATTCCCACAGTCCTCCTCCTCTCTCTCCTCACTCAAAGCAAAGCTGTATCTGATGACAGAATTCCCCGATGGCTCCACTCGCCACCATGCAGGATGATAAGAGCAAAGGCCACACCCAAATGTCAGTCCCAGTTCCCAGCCCCATCAGCATCTGACCTCTAAACAGAGCCAGACCACTTGGATGGCAGCCACTTAGAAACCCAAAGAGACTGCCGTTCCACCAGCTCTGCCAAATGCAGAAAAGCAGAAATCGATTTAGAAAGCGCTAGAGCTTTCCAACATCAGAGCCAAATATGAGAACGATGTGACCCACATGTAAATATGCACATTCTGTGTCAGGACATCTGAACCCGCTGTACCGAAGGGGAGCTGGGCAGCGACAGCATCCCCAGTGGGACACAGCAAGGCCATTCTGGCCAGGAGACTGGACCCCATGACCTCATAGGCCTGTCCAGCTTCTGATGCCTATGGTTCACCACAGTTGGAGCAGGCTTTTTCCCTCCCTGTCTTTTAAGAGAAATGAGAATAGCCTGTCTCATTCATTGTTACTTGCTGCTTGCTTGGTGGCTTAGACTGAACTGGAGAAATTCTACACACACACACCGCACACTCACACATCACACACCCACATTTCCACCCATGGAACCACCCCCAGGCATACATGTGTGTCTCCCCACGCATCTCACACCACAGCCACCATTCTGAGTTCTCCTGGTGGGGTCCAGGCTCCTCCTGAAACCATCACTTTTCTATCCTAGAAGAGGGACAACTTACCCTCCCATGCACCTTCATCAGATGTGCTGCCTCCTCAAACATGATCAGAACATTCTCCCTTCTCTGTCCAGTGCAAATACACAACCCAGGGACAAAACCCAGGGACAGTCAAGAGCTAAGAGGTGCTGAGCACGTCTTTTCCTCCCCTCCCACATTTACACCATCGTGATCTCCTCCCAAATCTGTGGCTTCTTTCTATTCTCCTCATTTTTTTCTCTATTTCCCTCAAGTCTGTTTTTTTCTCTCCAGGTTCCTTTAAGAGTGCACTGGTTGTGACATGAACAGGGATGACTTAACGCCCATTATCATGCAAGCACCTGAAGGGCCCTGAAGTGCCTCCAAGGTCATTTGGAGTTTTCCACAATGCTCGGGGCCCCACACGCGCTCTATATGAGGCCTGCTTCCCTCATATAAGGGAAGGTCACATGACACTGGTCATATAACTTTACCTCTTCTCCTTAAGGGCAGGTTTACTATTATCACTAGGAAAAGCCATCATGGTTTGTATGATGAGAATTCAGCCTTTGTCTCTGGTTCCCAAAAGTCTTTACCAATTTCCGTTTCTCTGGCTCTTAGACCTTCCTGGCTTGTACTCTCTCCGCAGCACCAGCTGATGCCTCCACTCGGAACGCTCTGTCTCCTAACCTTCCCGTGGTTGGGGCTGCTTCCCATCATGAAGGCCAATGCACAGGTCTCCTCCTATCCCCTGAGCCATCCCAACTCTTCCTCACACTTGTCACTCTGTCCCATATCCCAGTTCTATCTTCATACCATGCAAGGTCTGAGACGCCTCTGTTCACCTGTTTCTTTGCTGTCTGTCCCTGCCAACTAAAACGTCAGCTCCATGAGGGCAGATGCCCCATCTCATTCACAGTCTTCACCCCAGTGCCTATGACAGCATCGAGCACATAGCAGGCACCTGAGTATACATTTGCTGGAAGAATGAGTACAGTCCTGTAAATGAAGTCTAACTTCATACACAGCTCCAGTGGCCTTTCTCCAGGCCCCCAGAAGATGGAAGAGGATTCTCTGTATTTGAGTGCTCAGATCTGCCACGACCTTTTCTGCATTCTGCTGTGTTTGGGACAAAGGATCTGGGGTTCTGATTGTAGGAAAAATGTTTAATTCTTGGCTTCTCCAGGACAGGTCAGGATTAGCAGATAGCCCAAGACAGTGACTTGGTCAAGGTTTGAACCAGACTCCTCTGATTAATCTTTTCTTTCTACCTGTGCTTGTATCAGCATTTAAATGTTTTGTATGTGTCTGCACCTTACTGCTGTCTCAACGTGTCACTGTAAATATTTGAAAACATAGATACATGTGCTGTATTTCTGGTCTTAGAAAGAGGGAACTGACCCAAATCAATTCCTGGCCTCCACGCAGGCTCACACCCAAATCAAACAGGATTTCTGGGGAAGGTTTCAGGGAAAACCACATCCCTTTAAGCTTGTTCCAGTGTCTCTCGATCTTTTTATTCCTCCCTCAAGGGAAACGAAGGCAGGTGCCAGGCTCGAATGCTAAAGACAAACGATCAGGCTGACAAGTGGGACAATACACATGCAACGTCCTTACCAACATAGCCTGGGGTCCCACACGCTGTGGACATCACGTCCCCTTTGCCTTCCATTTTGGACAATCCAAAGTCGCTGATCATGATTTTGGACTCCTCATCTTGACTGTAGTACAACAGGTTCTCAGGCTACAAAGAAAAGTAGAAAAAAAAATTTACAAACTATGTTAATAGCTGGGTTAATTGTGGGAGCATCACCAACTCACCAAAACTTAATGACAATGGAAGGACAGACTTGACCTTTAGACACAGTAAATACCTGAAGAAAAGCAATGTTTAATGAAAGCAATGTGGTGGCCTTATCTAGTATCGGGGCATTTATGGATTTTCAAAAAATGTGAGTCCATTTCCCTTACTAGTATTTTCTCTAATTAAAAAAAATGAAGTGTATATTGAAGAAACTAGAAAGTAGATGCCTTCCAGACTTGTCGATTCGTTTGCTGGGTTAGGGGAAAGGAGGTTCCCAGAAAGAACGCTGCTTTTGCAGGTGCTCTGTGGTTTCTTTTTTCCTGACCCTTGTCAGCATCCTGCCTCTGACCTAAGGGTCTCTCTCCCGGATCTCGGAAACCTCCTGAGTCCTGCAGCTCTGCACATGCATTGCACACCCTCCTTTCCTGAGCCAGCTGACGCCTGTGCACTCTGCTTCCTGGGAAGCAGAGGGAGGTCATCCTGGAATACATTGACGTAGAAGATCCAGAACTTTCCAGCCACGTGCCCTGAAGAGCTCGAAGCCTCTGCTTGCGTTTCTGTAGAACACGGAGTGATGGCTCCTCCTGTGCTTCCTCGACTGTAAATGTCAGAGTTCAGGAAGCAGTAATTCCCCACATGCGGCAAAGGTCTGATTATAACTTTGTCTCCACTCCAGATCTGCATGTCAGTGGCACCTTCGGGGTATCTACGTGGGAGGGGCTTAATGGTGACAACCCTGGGGCAAACTGGGAGACGATGAAACTTCATCTGCATGGCATCTTTTGGAAAACTGGGGAACTTGGTTGTTCCTGGCAAAAAATGGGGGAGGGGCTTATGGAGCCCTAAGGAGCTGTTGAGTGAGAACCCCTCTACCCTTGCCGTCTCCTATTAGTAATTTTCCATTCATGACCCTCACTCTGCTCAATGGTTACACATCCTCATGTGTCCTTGCTGAACTTGGAGTGGAGCCCGACTCTCTCCCCTAATGCGATGTCCCTCTTGCAGGAGTCTTGAATAAAATGTTCCTTACCATTTGAACATGTGTCAGAACCAATTTATTTTTCCTTTAACAGAATATCCCCAAAATACTACCCTTCACCCAAAATAACAAGATAAAAAGGAACAGCATTTATCAACCACAAGGACATTAATCCTGTGGACAAAGCATGAGATTAGAAGAAAATCAAATGTATATTTGTGGATGTTTTCAGTGAGTTTTAAACTAGAATAAAATGGGCCAATCAATAATGGAAACAATAATGCTCAGAAAACAGAGGGAAACAATCTAACCAAATAGTGCACATGGCTTCTCTGAATGTTTAGGGATTAGCATTTGGTGAAGAGTAAGAATCCAGTCATGGGGGCAGAGAGTTGTTTTTTTTTTTTTAAGTTTCTGATTTTAAAACTTCCTATCCCTGACAGTGCTTCTGCAGCTGTCAAGGATCTCATGCTTCTAGACAAGGCTGCATCCAGGCAGGAGATGGCCTAACAGCCCAGAATCTCTTCTTATACCTTTTTCCTACAGGAGATGCATTTGGATCAATAATTGGCTCTTTCGAAGGACAACTACTGACGAGGATTCAATCAGCTGGTCATTCTCAGGTTAGGTCAATACTTTTACTTGTCTCAAGATTTAGTAAAGACAGAAAGACTTTTCATGATGGAGGGGGGAGTAAGGGGAACAGAGAAGAAAGTGGGAGAGAAGATGGGCTCAGGGATAATGTGGGTGGAGGCCCCCGTCTGGCAGAAGGAGGGCTGGGGGTGATGGGGTGAGTGGGGGAAAGAGGGGAGCTTACAATCCTGCCTGGGGTCCTACAAGGCCCAGGACTCACCTAAAAGATTATTCTTCTGCATTTTATGGCATGTTTGCAAGACACCTGGTGGCCAACACATGACTTGGGAGGTCAATTCCAACCCTTGTTCATGTAAGTTTTTAAAAGATCTGAATCAACATTTCCTGTAGAGTTCATGTTACATACAATCATACTCTGAATCCAGTGATAGCGTTCACCCCGCCAGGGGACACCTGGCAATGCCGAGAAACATTTCTGGTGGTCTGAACTTCAGGAGGAGAGGCAGCTGCATGAGTGCAAGAGGGCCTAGAAGAGCTGCTCCACATTCAAGATCAGGAGGGGCGACCTCGTCCAAGGTAAGGAGCATCAGCTGCGCTTTGCTGGAGCAGCCGTGAAGAGATACCCCACGTCCAAGGTAAGAGAAACCCACGTAAGACGGTAGGTGTTGCCAGAGGGCATCAGAGGGCAGACACACTAAAACCATAATCACAGAAAACTAGCCAATCTGATCACATGGACCACAGCCTTGTCTAACTCAATGAAACTAAGCCATGCCATGTGGGGCCACCCAAAACAGTCGGGTCACGGTGGAGAGGCCTGACAGAATGTGGTCCACTGGAGAAGGGAATGGCAAATCACTTCAGTATTCTTGCTTTGAGAACCCCATGAACAGTATGAAGAGGCAAAAAGATAGGATACTGAAAGAGGAACTCCCAGGTCGGTAGTTGCCCAATATGCTCCTGGAGATGAGTGGAGAAATAACTCCAGAAAGAATGAAGGGATGGAGCCAGAGCAAAAACAATACCCAGTTGTGGATGTGACTGGTGATGGAAGGAAGGTCCGATGCTGTAAAGAGCAATATTGCATAGGAACCTGGAATGTTAGGTCCATGAATCAAGACAAATTGAAAGTGGTCAAACAGGAGATGGCAAGAGTGAATGTTGACATTCTAGGAATCAGAGAACTAAAATGGACTGGAATGGGTGAATTTAACTCAGAGGACCATTATATCTACTACTGTGGGCAGGAATCCCTTAGAAGAAATGGAACAGCCATCATGGTCAACAAAAGAGTCCGAAATGCAGTACTTGGATGCAATCTCAAAAACGACAGAATGATCTGTTCGTTTCCAAGGCAAACCATTCAATATCACAGTAATCCAAGCCTATGCCCCAACCAGTAACACTGAAGAAGCTGAAGTTGAACGGTTCTATGAGGACCTATAAGATCTTTTAGAACTAACACCCAAAAAAAGATGTCCTTTTCATTATAGGGGACTGAAATGCAAAAGTAGGAAGTCAAGAAACACCTGAAGTAACAGGCAAATTTGGCCTTGGAGTACAGAATGAAGCAGGGCAAAGGCTAATAGAGTTTTGCCAAGAGAACGCACTGGTCATTGCAAATATCCTCTTCCAACAACACAAGAGAAGACTCTACACATGGACATCACCAGATGGTCAA